AGCAGCTGATATTGGCTTAGAGTTGTGTGATGTTTCAGTTATGCATGTTTTTAAGGGCCAGGTATGCCACCTATAGAAGCCATAAATTACTTAATAGGGGACAAGTAAAAAGCAAAGAGCTGTTGAGCCAAACAGCAAACAATACAATCACAGAGGTAGGCTACAAAATGTTCAGGTATGAGTTCTAGTTTGTCTGGAAAACAGGGAAGATGAAAAAGAGAGAAAAGGAATAGAGAAATGCAATACTTTTTGTTGGAATTCCCATCCACTCCGGAAGTAATGAAAAATAATGGTTTATTAAATAATTATAGTGAAAAATAATCAAGATGTATAGTTACAAAGAACTTATGACCAGTTCTGTGTAACTCTAAAGTTTGTCTCTGTTTTTGCCAGTTCAATTCATAACCAAGAAAGGGCATAATCTTACCTGTCCAGCAGGTTGTTTGGCCCTGTCAGTTATTATGCTTGACCATTACATAAAATGCACAGATGTATTAGCACAATTCCAGAATATAAACAACTACAACCAAGGTAATTGCTATCATGTGTTTCTTGGCAGTTGGAAAAATCAGGATCTGCTAAGCTCATGGGTGTCTGAAGTAGGGAAAGGAGCACAGGAAGAATCGCAAGTGTTGCACACCACAATGTATTAAGAGCTGGTCATGGAACACATCTTCATATAAATTCCTAACTCCGTGTTTGATTGAAACAAGTGCTCCTCCTTTATAGCAAGACTAGAAAACGGGAGAAACAGTGACATGAAGAAACTTTCTATTGAGCCTCCATGCACTGCAAATCAATGCTAAATATTACAGACAGCTACAATGAAAAAGTGCTAGCTAGTAATCTGTTCCAATACAATCTTTAACAAACACTCTCCATTTTACATGCTTCATATGTGGTTTCAATCTAGTTGCTCTCATGTCATTGCAAGAAAAAAAAGTCTGCTGTTTATTTGAAGTGGTTCATGCAACAGAACATGGTTGAGGGAAATTGTTACAAGTTAATTTACAACACAGTGACAAACACAAAAATAGAAAAAGACATCCTAAGCAAAGACAAAGCAAGACCACAATCCATGTTTGCTCAGAACTTTGACCCACAACTGTCAGCTGACGCACTAGAAACAAAAACAGGTGAGATTCCTATAGCTAAGCACTACGCACAGGCACAAGACTTACAGAAAGACAACTGGGAAGACAAAAAAGGGGGGGGTACGATACACAACTTTGCACAAGATGATAGCAGGACAACTCCAGGAAAGATGCCCAGAAGGATCTCTTTCCCTATCGAGAAATATTTTTTGCATCCATGCTCTGCAGATCCCCTGACATGGGACTACCTGGCATTCATTCCAAGTCCTCTCAGTCCTAATTGGTGTGTGAGCTTAGGTAAAACTTTGCTTTGATAAGCCCTTCAAAATTATAATAATAGAAGGCAAAGATACAGTCTGAAGCATAGACGTGTGAGCCACTAGACCTACAGATCTTGTTACTGTATATTCTTAAAGGTTTGAGGTGGAGATGAAATTAAGATCAAGAAGGCATCTACTTGAGGAGCTCTGAAGCTCCCCTGAAAGTAAGTCCAATCCTCAAATGCTAATCTTTAAATTTATCACATCTAAAACTGTCTCATTCGGGAGAATATGGTCCATGCTTTCAATAGGAAGAGTAGAGATGAGCCTTTGTGGCCCCTCAGATGTTTCTGCACTACAACTTCAATGATTCACCACCACTGGTTATGCTGGCTAATGAGAGCTGCAGTTCAACACCTGGAGGGCCACACATTGTCCACCCCTCATGGAGAGCTAGCAACAGCACGTTTTCATCACTAAAGATCTCCCAAATTTAATGAGTTTCTTAAGGTGTCCTTTTTGGGAATAGAGAGCCTGATCCAACACAATGGCTGAAATTCAGTAGCAAGGCTTAAGTTGCTCAAGGCTGCTGATGTTATCAGCCATGGTGGGTTTTCAGAAATGAAAGATTTCCTATTCCCTACCCCAAATTATCTGAGGTTCCCTTTAGGATCCCTTTCATTAGGGGGGAAAACACACTAACCAACCAACCCCCACAAAACAAAACAAACCAACTCACAAAATGGCTGATGACATATGCTAGGTTTGAGCCACTATGTATTTTTGAAAAGCTTTCCCATGATGATCTCCAACGAGAGGGCAACATGCTTCTTGTTTTGGTAGAACGAACCATCACAGGTTTAAGCTAGTGGCAATGAGTAGCTAAGATGTCCACCAGAAATGCAGAGTTTTCAAAATGGAGAGGGTGGGGGAAATGTCAGTTTCTGAAGTAATGTTTAGCATATAATGGCAAAGAATTTGCAAATCATGTTTAGGGATGATGACTCCCTCTCCCCAGTTTAATTAACAGAAAATAACCAGTTAATCTGATTGTTTCTGAACTAACAAACAGAAAACATTAGAAACAAACTATGCAAGAAAGTGGAAAGGGGGGAAGGTACCATAAGAAGAACCAGGAGACTGGAAAACTGGTGTTTTGCTTCCACTAATATTGTTTTCTGACCTGCACTAGCCCTTGATTATTATTCTGTTTCAGGGCTAAACTGGGCTACTCATGTGTACCATTCACTTCTCTGCCAATTTCAATATAAATGTGGTTGTGTACAGGAGCTACTTTTTACATGAGCAGGGCTTGAAAAACGTTAGAATGTCTCACCAGTCAGTCAAAATTTTCACCAGTCAACATAACTGGGCTATAGCCTTGCAACTGATGTTTAAACTTAAACTAGGCACTTTCTACATAACAATGTGTACAAACCCAAAATATACCCTCAGACTTGGGTTGCTTTATTGCCTGAGTGCCTGTGGGTCATGAAGCTTGCACAGTATTTTGAAATGCCTTTCTTTTGAATGTCTGGAGCAAAAATAAAACTGAAAGCAAAAGTGCTTTCATATTCTCCAGCATGGGACTACTCTACATTCTTCAGCAGGGCTATATATCTATGTGCCGCTGGAGCTCTCTTCTCCTGAGAAGAGGGCTGTTTTTCCTTTTGCAATGGGAAGGGGGAGGGGAGGACTGCAGGATCAGAGAGAGAGATTGAGAGAGAGGGGGGGGGGAGAGGGAGAGAGAGACGGACTGAGGGTAAAGAGGCAAGGAGGGATGGAAGGAGCTGTGGCTCATCAAGCAGCATTCTTTCACTCATCACAGATGAGTGGACGAGTGAATTTTTCAAGCCCTGTACATGAGTGTACAACAAATGCAGTAGTGAAGGCGGCAAAAGCACGCCATCTCCTCCACATACCCACTGTACTTGAATCCATTTCCTTCCACTTCAGTTCTGATCTTAGAAGTGACCCAGTTTGGGGAGGGAGGAAATTGCTTGAATTATTAGGGCACAGTGAGGGGGCAAAAGACTGTACCTCCTCACAGCCGCATGTTACATTTCATGTAAGAAGCAGGACCCACTCTTACATTTTCTCTAAGAACAAGGCAGACGTACAAATAAAATATAACTCTTAGTTATTTTCTTGTACTGTATCTACTTTGAGGTATTTGTCACTGTTATTTAGATGGGCCCAATCCTACTCTTCCTCCCTTACTTCTGTGGCAGAAACACTGGGACATAAAAATCAAAAACTCGCAATGTGTGATTCATATATATTGCATCAAACACCACACACATAGTGCATCTGGAATCAAACATGCAAATTAAGTAAAACAATTGGGGCCCTGTGCAGAAGGTGTAGTGGGGTGAGGTGTAGGACAAATGGAGCAATGGTTTCCATTACCTTCCATTTCTTGCAAGTTCCTCACCCACAGGGGAAGTTTGCAACATACTGCAAGAGCTCTGGAAAGGCAGTATCAGGCATTTTCAGAGCCCTTTCACCTGATGGAACCAGGTAGCTGAGGGGATTCCTGGCACTCACTCAAGACCTCAGAGCGGGCTGTCGTGCCTGAAGACTGAGGCCCTGATGCCACTTCAGAGGCTTGGCTTGAGCACAGCTGATCAACACGGCCCACTGGACTCCTCCCTGTGTCCGAGGACTGCAGCTCTTAACTGGTTTAGAACTGAAACCCTTTATTCCCTTGGTTTGCCTGAACCCACTACAAGGCCTTCTGCTTAACTGAAAGTAAACGGGCAGAAAACTATTCTCTAGTCCCTAGAGAATTATACCTCCTAACTGCTTAACCACATATACCTATGCTCTGATTGTTGCTACTAGAGCTTTAGGTGTAAAGGAGGGCAGCAGATATGCAAATACAAGATGCCAGTAAGTTTGGTTATCTCTTGCATTAGCATTCCCTCCCCTTCACTTCTGATACACAGTAAATCATAGTCTTTACCACTGGAAAAGACCATGTCCTGCTAATTCCTATACAATTCCCTGCAGTGCCTGAGTTCCCATACTGCAGATAAAAAGATGGACGCTATATACACCGTTTAGAACCACAATTTTGGAAATACAGAATTTAGCTTTTTTTTCCGCTTAAGAATTCTATATCTATCTCTATGTTACTTAAAGCCACTGCTTAACACCAAATGGGCTCGGAAAATAGTATACTAATCCTACATTTTAAAAAAATGTCACTCTTTTAGAAGCATCCTTAAGCATAAGGTAGCATTTCATCACCCTTGTCTTACCTAGGCAGTTTGCTGGCAAGTTCTGGTCTAAGTGACTGACTGTAATAGCTGCACTCACCTTCTGACACCCTCTCAAAGAGCAGGCAATGGCACCTCACGCTACACCATTCCCTGTTTCGAAATCTATGTGCCGATTCACCGCAGGTCTGGGTTATGTCCAACATGCATGCCTTGTTAGTAGACTGAAAATCCACATTTATGGCTCTTGGTTATATGGAGACCTTAGTGCATGCCCATTTCTCAGCCAGCAAGCATGGATGGTGTCTCACTGGGTGTACAAACACTGGCATGCCGTTTTTTTACTGGCAGTGGAGTTGGTGAAGGATGATTGGGTGGGTGGTTTTAGGTTCAGGCACTCAGGAGATACAACTCATGCCACATACCTTGCTCAGCCAGGCCGGCAGCACTCATGGCGGCTGAAGCAGGGGCGGAGCTCTGCCTGCCAACTGATTGGACATAATCATTCAGTGGGAGGAGCCATAATAAAGCAAGAAAGGCCCAACAGCAACAAGAGAGCAAGGTGCAAGTAAATTAGTTTTATAAAGAACAGTGGGAAGAGAGAAAGGATTGGAAAGGGGAAACACAGTATTACCAAAAGGAAAAAGGAAAAAAAGTAAGCTATTCCCCTTTAAACATGAAGACAGAAGCACAGAAACCAGCACAGAGGGTTGGACTTCAGGAACAGTGTTCAGAAAGCTGGAAGATTTAGCTGTAAAGAATTGTTTATGAAAGGCCCTCTAACAGAGAGTTCTAGGCCAGCAACATGAGTGAAAAGGATATCTACATGACAAAAAGTTGGTTTATATATATTCTAACATCAGAGGCAGTGAGGGGTAAATGAGTTGGAAGATGCTGCAGGTCGGCATTCAGATTTCATATCAGTATCTTGTTTTATGATATTAAAAAATGAGAAATAAAAAGATATGTGGATTAAAGTGACCATAAAAGTTTGAGTTATGATTACAACAGTCTCTTCAGCCACTGAGTGCTAAACACATTTTCAGTAATAAGGAAATTAGCAATTTTTCAATAGGAAGTATAAAATCCTAACCAGGTCTGAGCAGCAGATTATTAAGAATATTTTCCAAAACATTACCTCTCATAGGTTGCTAGTGGAAACATAGGAGCTTGCCTCTTTAATATTCCAGATACGTGAACAGCCTCTTCCAGTATGAAATGCATTGGGAGAGGCTGGATACCTTCTCTTTGAAAAATCCCAATACTTTTTTCCGAACTTTGTCACCATCATCACATGCACGATGGCTTATTCCACTGAAGACCAAGACCAATCAAAATGGGAATCCAAAATATTAACATCTAAATAGGTGATTAACAGTTTGGAAATTGTTAAACTATCTGAAACATTATAAAGAAAATGAAGATAAGAGTATCCAAATGTGACTAGTTAAGTATTTCAGCATCTCGGTGGCCCTGTAGAAACTGTCACATCCACCTAAAAGCAAGATTGGATAGTAAAACATGTTGACAACAGAGACAGAATTCTGAAACGAACAAACTACTCAAAAATTGGGTAGAGGGGATTTACACAATGTGCTACTATAGAAAAAAAAGCAACAGCCACATTTTCAGTGAAATGTAGCTTGTGACAATCTGGATTTGCAAGCTTAGATTTACTTGCCAGTTTGTAGTGAAATTCAAAGTCCCTCCCCCCATCTAAAATGAAAAGAGAGATTAAAAGCAGAAAGTTCCTTGGGAGACTCAGCATAACACATATAAGTTATTTAAAGCATTTCATGTACACTATTGCAGAATAACATAAAAGCCATGTTGTAAGGCAGCTAGTATTAGCGCCGCAAGTGCTAATAGAGATCTGAAGTTGGAAAAAAAATGCTGAAGGCCATCTGGTAAATTTGAGGGCAAAGCAGAAGCTGTATGGGTATGGGCTTCTCACGACTAACCCTTGAGCCACTACGATATATGAATCCCTCATCACCTCTAGCAAGGCCTGCCTATCGGCAAACAAGGTGAGGCCAAAAAGAAAATGATATATGGAGGATGGGTACCAGCTTCAGCCAACAACTTGCCATCTCCTCATTTCCTCCACCTCTTTCTCTACCATTCTATACATTCAAAGGACCCTGTTTACCATCTTGCCCAACCATTTTTAGCTGTATATAAATAAAAGTTACCCAGCACTCTCATCAGAACTCCCACCCATACGAATTTAGTGTCGCAGCTCATACTGGGGATGGTTTGCACTACTAGGCTCCCCACCTGAAGACTGTAGCATCAAGGAGCGATCTGCACAAATGCACTGTGGATTGCCATAGGGGCAGGTGTCTCTCACTTGCCCTGGGAGCATCCCAATAAGCTCCAGATCCCAGTAGGAGCTGCAAAATCCCACCATATTGGGGTTGGAGTATAGAATGTACCTCACATTTCCCTCCCATTAATCTGAATCAAAGTTCACATAAGCCCCATAGATAGCATTTTTACCACCATCCTCAATGTATAAATGTGGACACAATTTTCCACAGAGTGGAAGTTCATACATTTAGTCAAGAATAACTGACTGAAGTCATCACAAGGCATTAAACAACATTCATGTTATGTACACATGACCTACTTAAAGGATACGCAACTCCCAATGCCCACTGACACCCTCTGGTTGTGACAAATGAATTTCTATCCATGTAATAAGTATCCCTTTGTATCCAGTATGCTTTTGCTGCACGTAACAACCCTAATTGATCTCAGGTATGGTCTGATAAACAAAGACGGTGGCAGGGTGTCTTGGAAAATCATAGCCTTATACAAGGAAAAGGAACTGAGAAGTGGAGCAAAACGTTATCCTGTGTAAGGATTCTTCCTCAATTCTAATTGATTGTTATGCTGTCATTATAATGCCTGGATCTCTGATCTTATCCTCATATACTCTCCTGCAATCAGCATCAGAACTTCTGTATCACACAAAAAAAGCAACTGTCTGTTATGCATCTATATGCACAGACACAAGAGTATACTTTTTTCCTGAAACTTTTTTCCATTCCACATTTATCATTTGCACTGAAAATGGCCAACAGTGCAAATTCAGGACAGCTCTATTTTGAATTCAGCTGTATGGCTACTACCAAGAATATATTCATAGCCAATCATGCTGCTACGAATGTAGTACGTACATGACATATGTGTCTGAAAAAAAGTTTGTCAATTCACACTTCACGTTTTACGTGTGCCCGTAAATTATTCTATGCTTGGCTTTCCACAAACGTTGTGTGTTTAGCATAACTCGGCCTGCATATACGATTAAAAAAATGTTTGATGGAAGTATGAACACTTGGAGACAATATTGTTCATTACAGTCAAGAATTACACAATTTTTATTTGAAAATTCTAATCATCTTATTCCCTCTCTCCCTCCCATCCTAATTTGAAGACAATCTTTGCAACAATAGTATACTAGAGAAGTGTAATTAACACCTACTTTATACAGTGAATGTGTGTACTTTACAGTGAATTACATATTCTTCCTCAAAATACAATTTAAGCAAATCTCCACCATTCATTTTATTTTGTATACTAACTCTGCTTCTATCGATCACAGAGAAGGAACTGAGCAGAGTTCAGAAGCACACTAAGGGGTCTGGAAAAAACACCGTATCCTGATCCTCCCTTCCAAAATGGGGGCTGGGGGGGGCACTGGAGGAGAGGTGCGTATTAGCCAGTTTCAGTTCCATGCACTAACCTGGAGGACAGAACTAGATAGGACTCTGAACAGGAGCACTCCTCTTAGAGAACAAGAATACATGGCAACATTTTGTTGCCTTCTCTCATAAATAATATAAACAAGAATGATTTTCCTCCCCAAATGATGCTACATCTGGGAGTATCCAGCTAGAAGAAAAGCAACCATCAATTTAGAAAAATCTCTATACACAGACTTGAAACACAAATAAGAATGGGATTATCAGACTTCTTCAGAATAAAGTCTCCTTCAGCTGAATGTCAAGCAACCTGATACAATACTTAGGCTCTTGTGTAACCATGAGATTTTGTGATGGGGATGCTTTTTAAAAAATTAAATACCATAAATTAATTTGGTCTATATTTCTTTGTTAACAATTACATGAAGTACAATGGTTTGTATTTTGTTATGCATCAGAAGTGCTACCGCTGTTGTATTTTTAGAATAGTTGCTAATACAGATTACTGACATCCAACCACTCTGTGGATCTTTATCTTTTATCAAAGTATGCATTTTCTGATAACAGGCCAGCTTCAAATCAAAAGGTTTTCCACATCAATTAATTCACACACGGAAAAGAACTTTTCTGCTTGATATTCCACTTAAATCAAGCTTTCAGATAGTCAATGAAGATTTTTCTTTGTCATGACATAGATGAAAATTTAAGATACAAATAAATGAACTGAGTACACAAAGAGTAGTCAGGTACGGTGGATTATCTTTTCTCCTATGCAACAAGAACGAGAAGTCTTTATTAGTACTCAATCACAGTGTAGTTAACTGCTGATCACTCAAGGCAATACGAGCTGGCTCTTCTCCTGGGATGAATTGAACTCCTATCCTTTGGCTCTGTAGTGGGACAGCTAACTCACTGAGATCTTTAAAACTCCCCATGGGCCAATTAACTAAAAGGATTTTTCTTTATGAACACTAGATGGCACTAGCCATTTAGTTCTAGAGAGAAAAATAACTAAGATTTAAAAGAATGCATGGAATGCCACATAGAAGCATCAGAAGCCCACAAAACAATTAGAAACTGATACAGATCTTGATGCCCTTTTTTTTTCTCCTGGGTCTACTTCTAAGTACTGATCATCATTTTAAAATGCGGCTGATCGTCTTGGGTGATTTTAACATCCAAGCGGAGGCAGAGATTACTAGTCCAGCTCTTGAGTTCTTGGAAACCATGGCTTCCTCAGACATGTCCAAACATGTTAACGGCCCCATGCATGTGGGTGGTCCCATGCTGGACCTGGTTTTCTCTACTGAGCAGAGAATGTGTGGCCCGATGGTGAACGGACGCTACCTCAGTCTCCATGGTCTTCAGCTGGTCCCCTTGTCGTGGTCAGACTACCACCTGATAAAGTGCAATCTCACAGTGGCCCTCCCTTCCCGCGGGCGGGAAGAGACCAATTTTGATGGTCTGCACTCAGAGACTACTGGATCCTATTGGATTCCATGCAAGGGATTCCGATTGATCTGGCTGGCACTTCTGTTGAGATTCTGGTGGATGGCTGGTATGCCGCCGCAGGACTGTAGACACAATCGCCCCTAAACATCCTCTCTGACGCAAAGCCCGACCAGCACCCTAGTTTAACCAGCAACTGTGGGCTATGAAGTGGAACAGGAGATGGCTGAAGAGCATTTGGAGGCGGAACCCGATGGAAAACAATCTAAAAGCTGTCAAGATCACATCTAACCTTTACCTAGTCGAGGTGAAGGCTGCTAGAAAAGCTTAAT